AACATAGTGCACGAACAATTTAGTGGAAAATTGTTATTAAATTTATGATTTTCTTTCAGTGTGTACTGTCTGAGTGCATCCTTTGTGTTATTCTCATAACATTAATACATTGTATTACTGGTATACATCTTTCTGAACCAACCGATTAGTGTAAGATGTTCAGAATGAGTGAAAACCTGAGAATCATTTTAGAAATGCATAATCAGTGTTCTCCCCAGGAATTTAAATCACTGTGGCGGCCTAATTTGCATATAATGTGCATATCATTTACATAATAATAGAAATTGACCAAAGCACATTTACACCCACACAATAAACAACATATATTTTCAAAAACAAAGTGGCAGATATTTATTTCCTTTACACAGTGTTATAATCACTTTTATTTTGGGCACTTTTGTAATATTAATGAGCTCCGTCACAGTGCAAATATTTGTTTTTTTTTTAGTCAAAAAATTACGTTTCACAAACATTCTCGAAATACAAATGCTGCAGACTAAAAGGAAACAAATAAATTGTAAAAGGTTAAATGAAACACATTTGAAACGTTTCAGCCAGGATTATGTTCAAGACTTTCATGATCTTATTTACTACAAAATTCTCCTTCAAAAAATCGACGGCGTAATTATTTGGCGGATTGCTGGTTATTATTCCGACCATCAGCTTCTACAACGTTTACATTTACAGTAAATGAACGAACAAACAACACTTCCAATCATCAAAGTTACGACGTGACATAACTTACTTTGCGATGTTATACACCGGTTATACCAATAATTTCTCTTACTCAGTCATGATGCCATGCAAAAATGAAATACTTCTTTTTTTATATGAAAAAAACGTAAAATTTGAACTAGTTTTATCGAGAGAAATTATTTTTGATCACTCGATCACTTCGGTGAAAAACACAGACTCGCCATGATAGCTGTGACGCGTTAGTTGATCGCATGTGTCCTTTGACCCGGTGGGTCAAAAACTCCATTAACCAATCAGAATGCCGCATGGTAATGCCGATAGAACCCGAAGTTTTCCGAATGATCGTGATCATAAAAATTACATTGCGGAAGTAAAGTGATGTCGTAGCACGATGTGTTGGTATGGATTTCAGATGAAAACAGCATGATGGTTTTCGAAAGAGGTGATTAGCAATTTTTGAAAGGTAAAAGAAGTCTTGAAAGAAGAGTTTTTACATGATTCACGATGATAACAGTTCAAATGTATTTTACCCAATCACGCAATAAACACGTTGTTTTTTCTTGAGTAGCGTAAACTGATTGTGAACTCCGCTTTGCCCATGTTACATCGGGGTGGAATTGATTTTGAATAAATTTTAGCTTTCAATCTAAAGACTTTATCTATCGTCAGAAAATATTTACTTACAAACAAAGAGGTGCTAATTTTTACAAATATGACTTGTATTGTTTAAAGCCGCTACCACATCGCACGACTATGTCTATTGTTTATAAATTATTATCCACGACTTGCAGGATGTTTGTCGGTCGGTACGTAAGTATAATAACAATATGACAATAGTCAGACGCGTTTCCGTGGTGATCGCTAATTTTTAGTGCCGGTCGGGCCGACCAGCGTGACTAGATCCCCAATGAAAAAAAGCACTGTGGCGGTCTTGCTAATCACCGTGGCGGTGTCAGACCGGTGTGGCGGCAAATCGAGGCACTGTGGTGGGACCGCCACGCTGTTTACATCCTGGGGAGAACACTGATAATCGTAATATATTTGGAATTTGCAAATGTAGTAAGATGCAGATATCCTGTGCTGTGCCACAAAATTACGGTACGCAAAGCTGAAAGATGATTAATAGTGTAATGTATTTAAAGATGTTTTTTTTTTCTAAATGTAAGAGTACAATACTACCTTATGATGATGAATTTTAGATTATATTGTCACTGATTGGATATTAATTATTCATTTTATTTCAATTTTAGATATCCCTAAAATATAGCGGGAAGAATGGAGAAAGAAATTAAGAAAGAGAAAGAGGATCCTGAAAGTGATGCCACTGTAGATGAGGAGGAGGAGGAGGAAGAAGAAGAGGAAGAGGAGGGAGAAGAAGAAGAGGAGGAGGAGGAAAGTATGGAAGAAGGTGATGAAGAGGAGGAGGAGGAAGAAGAAGAAGAAGAAGAGGAAGAAGAAGAGCAAAAGAAAGGGAAAGGGAAAGGTGGTAAAAAGAAGAAAGCTGGAAAGAAGGGTGATAAATCAATCAATCTGAGTGATGATGAGTGGTTACAACTTGCTAATAGTATATTTGCTTTGTTACGTGCCAGCTCAGCTTACAAGAATGCTCTATTCACACAACATTTGAAGGATGATGCAAAGTGTGAAGATTCAGATTGCATCTATTGTTTTCTGCGTTGCATCGTCTTTAGTGAAATTAATCCTCAGTTTCAGCTTGAGCTTCGTAAAACGTTTATGCTTAAAATCAGAGAGAAGCTAATGTCTGGAAGCACGCTGCCAAAATCTGTTCCACAAGCATTCTTTCAAACGGTCGTGCATGCCCTGCAAGACAACATGGGCGATAACTCCGGTTTTCGAAGTACCTTTTTGACGATTTTGAAACGATCTGTCGACTGCAAAGCCTGTGCATTTCATAACATCCAGAATGTCACAACTCATGGTGTCAACATCGAACCAGATAAAGAGATCCAGGAATCTATAAAAGATACACTGAGTTCCTGGCGCACTATATTCGGACAATGTATCCCATCGATGTGTCTGAAGTGCAAACAACCAATCGAGTATGGAAATTTTTCTATTCACGAATTACCAAAATGTTTGATTGCTTTCCCTGCCAAGATACAAGATGAAAATGAATCAAAGTCAAAGCCAGATGACAATGCGCCGAATAAGCCGATCTTTTTATCACCAGACATTTCAATGCATCTTGAAACTGATAAGGGAGTTTCCAACGACTACAGATTATATGGTTTTGTGACTGGTGTCAAACAAGATAATGGAACCGTTGCTTTTAAGACCTATCTAAGGGTGAGTTCAATTTACTCTTGGTTTGGGTGAGGCAGGGTTTGGAGAGGTGGATGCGGAGTGGAAGTGAGGCTGGATGGGGGTCAATGTAGTTAAGGAAATGAGTCATACAGTAGTGAACAATTATTATTTGCAAGATTTATGCAAATACGGCTTTCAATGTGCTCAATTTTCTCATGTTGTTTTTCTTTGGTCTTTTTGATATTACTTTTTAATGATTGATATGACTGCTAAGTATAATCACAATAATATAAGGTATTGCAGTGATGCCGTATATAACACGCAGTACAGTAGAAATATCAACTAGCATGAAGTACAGGTCAATGTGATTTGCATACTGTTTGAATATGGGAAGTCCAGATCTGAGCAAAATGATAACAATTATTTATCCTAATAATTAAGAAATTTCTTACACTTGAACATAAACATGAATTGAACATTTTTTAATTAATTGCCAAATTTATTAAGTGAAACTGCAGATAGAATATAAGAAATAGAATAAATTGGAACAATTTGAAAATGGAATGAACAACCAAAATATAAATCCAATAAAACTGACAGAAACCATACAAACATTGAAACAATTAGAAAACAATAATGCTACTGGAACAGTTGATGAAAGTAACTTGCTGAAAGCAACAAACCAGAAATATGAAACACATGTGTCTTCACAACTGTCTATAAAAAAAATGAAGCCAGAGAGATGCATTCAATTACAATGGAATTTTAGTTGGTATCGTAATTGTCAAAGTGTTTAGTATGATTATAAGTAACAGAATATTCAAATACCTAGA